TCCATCGTGAGGAGGCGGTGCTGAGTGTCCCCGGGCTCCAGGTTGCACTGTGGAGGTCCGATCCTGCATCCCTGGCACCAGTCCCAGTGCCCGGGCTGGCAGGATGCGAGATGCTCTGGGTATCCTGGTGGAGCTCCCCTGGGCTGCTTGGGATGGTGAAGTTGGCAGCTCCAGGATGTTTGGGTTTGGCTTCAGAAAGTGGGTGCTGGCACTGCCTCACTGTCCCCACGGTCACATCCTGCCTGGCTGACTGGGGACAGGGTCCTGGGAGTCTTGCCCCTGCTGCCAGTGCTCTCCGTGTTCCAGGGACTGATTTGCAGGGTGTCACCTTGGGCCAAAGCTGCTCTGCAGCACTCAGGCTTGGTGCTGGCCAGGCTCCTTGGCCAAACTGTCCCCAGCAAAGGGGGGAGAGCACCCACAGCTGTTCCATCCCTGCTTGGAGAGCAGGATCCCCTGCCCCTGATGGGGGGCCCAGGCCATAAATGCACCTTTACATCTCGCCCGTGAGGTCAGATGAGTCCACAAGGAAAACATGTGCTGGAAGGGAGAGGGGCCACATAATGGCTCCATTCAGCGGGACCGCAGGACGCTGGTGCCCCCTCCTCACGTTACAGCCTGAGTTTCCTAAGGAGGCATTTTCAGGAGCTGGAGCGGCCGCAGCTCCCAGCCCTGTGTGTTCCTGGGCAGGGGAGGATGTGGGGAGCAATCCCGCCACAGTTGCCGAGCTGGGTCACAGCAATATTGCCACCATGTCCTGGGGTGGCAAAGAGGACTTGAGCTGTGTCCTCTCCTGTTCCCACCATCCTGCCCTGGGTCTGCCCGGGGTGCTGGGGATGGGGTGCCTGGGTGTTCCCCCTTATACAGGGACTCCCCCCCTCCCCTCTGGATGGAGATGGGGGTGCACCCAGCACCACAGGGCTCACACTCTTGTCCTGTGCCACCCATGGGTGCTGTGGGGTGTGCAGGGAGCACTCGCTGGTGAGTGGGACGGGAGTGTATGGGATGGGCAGGTGGTGGTATCCATCCTCACATGGCGAACGGGGGCTGGAGGCAGCCTAGGAGCCAGGCAAGGTGAGAGGGAATGGTCCCTAGGAAGCTGAGATGATGTTTGCATTGTTTTCCACACCTCACCCTTCTTCCCTCCCTACCCACATTCCTGGCACCCACCCCCCCCTCTTTACTGTGCTGCTCCCCTCAGCATGAAGGACACCCCATGTGTCACCATCCAACCCCACACTGGTGGCCCCAAGAACCTGGGGCAGGTGCTGCAGCTCCTGCCCTGGGCTGCGGGCAGCCAGACTGGACGTGGCTTGGGGAGGAGGTCCTAGCATCTGTCCCCCCACCTTGGTGGCAGCTGCGGGTTTTGGAGGACTTGAGAGGAGGATTCTCCTTCAGCTGTTCCTGCGATGTCCTGAGACCCACTAGCGGGTTGGAGAAAAGGGCGTATTTGGGGCTTTTAGGTGTTAAATGTTTGTGTACTAAATGCAAGTTGCTCCTGATTTTAAAGTTCTTTTATAATCAGTTACAAGTCAGCATGACCCTCTCTGGAGCTGCCGTTTGGGATGTTGCTTGATGAGAGCCCTGCGTGCGTGGACATCACTTTGTCCCTGTCCCGCTCTCACTCCCGCTCCTTTGATGATCTTTGCTTTTTTAATTTTTCTTTTCTTTCTCTGCCCAAAGGGTTTCTCTTTACATCTGCGATCCTGCGCTTGCCTGCGCCAGGGGACCTGTCTTTCCACCCTGAGGCTGGTTTTGGGTCTGGGAGCTGCAGCTGGCACCGGCCTGGGGGGCAATGCCACTGGCTGGGATCCACTGATGGTCCCACTTTGTGTCACATGAGGGGAGCTGGGTGGCACCGAGTGATGGGTGACATGGAGAAAGAAGGAGCTCAGCACCAGGGTGATGCTCGGGAGGAGCAGCAGGGTAGGGAGCACTGGGGATGGGTGCGTGGCTGAGGAAGGTGACAGCAATGCTGTGGGCTTTGGGGACTTACTGGACACCCAGAGGGCTCCTCTGCAGCTCCATCTGGCAGGGTGAAAGCGGGGGGATCCTGCCTGGGACCATGGGCAGCAGCTCCCACCCTTGTCTTGGGGTCTCAGTCCCACTTTTGGGGATGTGAGCCCACTCCTCTTTAATTAAAGGGGGGATTGCGTTGGTCTGGACAAGGGGTTGTCCCTCCTGCCTCGGGAACCCTCTTTGTAGGTAAAGGGGACACATTTCGGGGAGCAACGTGGGTTATTAATCCACAAGAAAAACATTCTGCCTCTGTAGAAACCCCTGGAGCATTTGTGGAGATTGCGCTGATGCTTGGTGTGAGCAGGATGCGGCTGTGTGCTGGTGGCAACGCTGGCATCAGGCACCCATCCCAGCAGGACCCAGCTCCAGCTCTGCCCACATCCCCGCTCCTTGTCCTCCACAAAGCAGAGATCCCAAGCCCAGACCACATCTTGAAGGCAGCTTTTCTGTCTTTTTCCCAGCGTTTGTAGGGCTTTGAAGAAAAGGAAAAAAAAAAAAAAAAGAAAGAAGAAGAAGAAAATGTCTTTGCACTGTGCGTGTCGGGAGCGAGTTTTTAAATAGATCTCCCAGTTATCCCAGTTCCAGTGGTTATGGGGCACATAGATCGAGCCCTCTTTGGAGGAGCTGAGACCACGGGTGTGTCAGACCTGCGCCCCGGTGGGTGCTGATCACCTCTGCAGCCAGCACCCACCCTACCCCAGAGCCAGATACACTTGGGGACCAGTCCATGTGAAACACTGGGAGCACCAGTTACCCAGTGCCGCATCCCAGTACCTCTCTTTGCAACAGGAGGGAGTTTTTTTTGCTGTCAAAGCCGCTGATGGATGAGGCAGGGGCTGAGCGGAGGGGAGCGGGACGCCGGGCATGGTGAGGGGGAGATTAGGTATCAGTGAGAAGATAAGCACGAACCCTGCACCCAGCGAGGTGGTGGGTGGGCTGAGGTCCTGGATGGTGGGGGTCACAGTCCTGCTCACCCCTGGCTTTTGGCAGGGGGGGGGGTGTTTTTTTTCACCATGTTTCAACAGATCCCAGCTCCCCACCATCATCTCGGGGCTCTCGTTGTGGGTGATGCTTTTGAGTGCCTCATCCCTGATGCCCATTTTGGTGCCCAGGCTGAACTGTTCAAGGGAGGAGGTTTCCCAAGTTGGAGGGATTTCTCTTGCAAACCTGCAACAATTTAATCTAAAATCCACCAAACACTGAATTTCTAAAGGGTGGAACAGTGACAACAACCCTGGGTGGGACAGTGAGTGCTTTGCGGGGGTCAGGGCACCACAGACCCTTCCCCGCCTGCACCTCAGCACCCCGGCACTGCTGACGAGGCTTTCCGGGGAGGACAACCTGAAGTGTCGTGCAGAGAATAACCTCATCTCCAGCCTAGCCAGTCCTCAGGGAGCTGGTTTGGTGGTTGACCCTCCTTTGGTGATAACATTGTGCATCCCGTTGCGTATGCTCGGCCAGAGGAGAGCCCCCCACTTGAGCCCCAGGACCCCCACACAGGGGGTACACGCTGACTGCCATCACAGCATCTCCCGACCGCTGCGATGGCCTGAATAGATGGAGCTATTTTTGGGCTCCGTCTGCAAGGCATTTTTTCCAGGCCTTGAATCATTTTTGTGGTTCTTTTCTGCCTCCTTTCCAATTTTTTTTCCCATCTTGCCATGAAAAGGGGGACACGATGCTCCCATCTGGGCTGGGTGGGTGCTACCCACTGTGGGGCTGGTGGTGGGAGCTGCCTCCAACCTCCCTGGTACCCACGTTTGGTTGGGGGGCTGCTGGCAGCTCCTTCCCCCACGGCCCCAGGACAAGGAGTTCTGGCAGCCAGACGTGGTCCTGTGACTGCGCTGGGTTCTGAGCAAATACTTCCTCGCTGTCTCCTCCTCCTCTTCTGCATTTGTTACATATAAAGAGGAAAAGGAAAAAAAAAAGCAAAAGCAGAACGCATTCCAGGCTGCGCTGCGGACCAGCCTGGGTGAAGTTTTCCTCGACTGCAGCGTCTGCTTGGACCATTTAGAACCTTCCAGCGCTGCTCCCATTGCTGGTGGAGGTCACCTCGAGGATGAGGAGGGTTCCCCCACCCAGGGGGTCCCTGCGGTGTCATGGCACCGGGAGCGCGTTCCCCACACCTGGGTTGCAGCATCCTGAGCCCCTGGCCATTTGCTTGGGGTGCTCATTGACTAAGTGTGGGTGAGGTGTCCCTGCTTCATCCCCACATGTCCCATCCCCACAGGGTGTCCCTGGCTGAGCCTCCATGGTGGTCTGAGACCCCATCCTGTTGTTGGCCAGGGTCAAGCTTGTGCCAAAAACACTTTGGCTGATGATTCTGTGCATGGTGATTCCCAGAGCTGGTGGCTTCAAGACATCCAAGGGTTGAGGGACCTGTCCTGCAGTTGCCATCACCCAGCTCATAGACAGGGGTGCAGGCAGGCAGAGAAGAGCAGCGTGGGGATGTTGGTGGTGTGGGCACTGCTGTCCCCACTCGCTGCAGCACCCTCCTGAGCAGGGGGTCCAGCCAGGCGCCTGGCTGCAGGCATGGAGCCATCCCATCCTGGGAGCCGGCTGCTTTGCTGGGTCCTCAGGGACAGAGCAGTTGGTTTTCCCCTGGGACATTTAGAACCTTCCTATTTTCCCAGTTTTTTGAGGGTCTTTGGATTTTTTTTTTTTTTTTTACGGTAACGGTTGCAAACACAACTTTTATTGTTTCATTGCTCCTGATTAACAGGAGGAACTGGTCCTGTCCTCACTCCTGGCATCACCTTGGCTGGCTGGTGGGACATCTTGAACCCATGGCAGATCCTCAGCAGATCTTTGCTCCCTGCACTGCGGAGGGAGAGCCGACAGCTCTCCTTGCCCCATGCCGGGGTTCAACTGACCAGGAGCAGGACCTGTCACCACCATGGCGTTGGTGCTTCTGTTGGGATTTGGGAAGGACCAGGACTTTCTGAGGTTCGTAACTGTTTGTGGTGGTTTTTTTCCCCCCGCAGCTCCTCAGTGCTCGTGTGCTGCCCAGGATGGAGGCAACAAGGAAGCGAGTGTTTAATAGGTAAGCACCAGCGTTTTGCTTCATTGGGCACTGCTCATCAACCCATCCTTCCTGAGACCTCCTGGCCTCACCACCACCGTCAGGGACCACCTTGATGTGCCTCATGGTGGAGACCAACTCTCCTGGGGACCTCTGCCTGCAGCAGCGTCCCTGGCTGTCCTGCATCCTGGCAGGGCTTGGAGCTAGCACGTGTGGATGGAATGGGTGCTCAGCCCCAGTGTTGGGGTGCTGGTCATGGAGCCCAGTCCTGGGGTACCCCCTCAGTGATACCCTGGGGTGCCCCAACCCTCAGCGGGCTCCTTCTCCACTCCCAGGCTGGAGGGTTTCTCTCTATTTGAGTTAAAGGATTTGAGGGTGCTGCTGTGGGACCCAAGGGACAGTGAGGCGTCCCCCAGGGTGTGAAGAAGTTGTGGGGACAGGGAGGGTGCAGCTGCAGGGCTGGCACCCAGAGAGTTCCCCCAGGTGCTGCAGCAGCCAGGGGAGTAAAGCCAAAGCCATCAGTGGAGGAGAAGCCACCAGGACCAGGCACGTGTCCAAGATGTTGGGAGTGGCTGCCGGGGCAGACAGGGGCCTGATCCCAGCTGGGGCCACCACACGGGGCGTTACGACTCTCAACTGGGGACAGGGCCAGCCCAGCAAGGATGCTCGGCATGATGCCCCGGGATCTATCATCCCCTGCACTGCCACCACGATGCAGGCAGGTGTTTTGGGGTTCCTGTGCCACTCCCCGCAGTCTGGGCTGACTGTGGGGCTCACCCAGCCCCAGAAGAGCCAGAGGAGCTCTGTGCACCCACCCAGGGTGTCAGTGGTTTGCCAAGACCATGTAACCAACTAACCCACCGTGCATGAGCCCTTGTAACCGCTCGCTGCATGCGTTGGGTGCCCATGCACTGGGAATGGGAGCTGGTCCCTTCAGGGTGCCAGCAGGAAGGGAGAAGGACAGGGTCTGCCAGGACAGTGGGGGGAGGACAGTCCCCATCTCCTCACCACCCCCCCACGCTGCTCTAACCATTAGACTCACTGCTCCTAACCTGTGTGATCTGTCTATTTTAGGGGTTTCTATAGTATCCGTCACCGTAGGTCTAAGAACTCCCAGGTAAGGTGGATGGGATGGGTGGTCCACTCTCCCTGTCCCAGTGGTGAAGGAGGCTCGTCCAGGGCCCCGCGGGATCTGCCTGCGCCTGCCTGCACCCCGGTGCTTCCTGTCCCCACATCCCTGTCCTGTCCTGCTCTGGGCATTGGCCCCAGCGCAAGGTCTCCTTGACAGGAGAGGTACAGGTGACCTTTGGGGCTGGTGGCCCATGCAGTAGAGGCGGTGATGGGGGTGGCAGTGACACTGCTGTGATCCATAAGTAGTGTGGGGAGGGGGACAGAGGGACTGTGCTGATGGCTGCCCGCTACCCCCACCCCATGTCCCAGTTCTCCCCCTGCACTTTTTTTACCTGCCTCTGCCAATGATATGGAGCTGAGTGAGGGACACTGCTGCTGGTGCAGCTGGTGACAGGATGACAGGAGGGATGACAGGAGGCTGGTGGCAGTGATGAAGCTGAGCTGGGTGGCAGGAGGCTGGTGGCAGGGATGGAGCTGAACAGGGTGGCACAAGGCTGGTGACATTTTTCTGGCGAGGGTCCCATCCAGCCTGCCCAGCTGCTTGCCAGGTCAGTCATGGTGCCACAGCTCAACAGCACCCGGAGTGCAACCACGCACCCCTGCCCGTGCTCTGTGGTGCTGTGGGGGTTTGGGGGAGCAGGGACAGCAGGGACGAGCCCGGTAGCACTTGTGCTCACACCCACTGTCTGTCCATCCGTCCAGCTGTGTGTGAGGGGAACTTCACCTGCAAGGAGAACGAGGTGTGTGTCAGACCTGGCGAGTGCCGCTGCCGCCACGGCTACTTCGGTGCCAACTGCGACACCAGTGAGTACCCACGTGTCCTCGGTGGGGGTCTCAGGGTGGCCCTGGAGTGCTGGCTCATCCCAGGGTGACTTTCCAGAGCATCAGGGATGGGGCTGCGGATGCTCTTGCTCTACCATTGCCCATCCCCTTGGCTTTGTCCCCAGGGCATTGTCTTTTTGGAGAGATCTCCTCTGAGACCTAGTGCATTGGGAGGAGTAGGGGGGACTCCAGTCAAGAGGTCCCATCAGGGCTGGGGGTTTCCATGGGGTTTCCCATGGGCAGTGTGAGGGCTGACGGCTCTGCCCGCAGAGTGCCCCCGGCAGTTCTGGGGTCCCGACTGCAAGGAGATGTGCAGCTGCCACCCCAACGGGCAATGCGAGGACGTGACGGGCCAGTGTACCTGCAACCCCAACCGCTGGGGTCCCAAATGCGAGAACGTCTGCCTCTGCAAGCACGGCAAGTGCGACCAGAAGACGGGGAAATGCACCTGTGAGCCCAACTGGTGGGGACCCCAATGCTCCAGCTCCTGCTATTGCAGCCACAACTCCCAGTGCGACCAGCAGACGGGCAACTGCCTGTGCCAACCGGGCTGGTGGGGCCGCGGCTGCAACAACCAGTGCTCCTGCAACAACTCACCCTGTGAGCAGTTCACGGGGCGCTGCCAGTGCCGGGAGCGGACATTCGGGCCCCGCTGTGACCGGTACTGCCAGTGCTACAAGGGCAAGTGCAACCAGGTGGATGGGACCTGCACGTGTGAGCCAGGCTACCGGGGGAAGTATTGCCGTGAACCGTGCCCGGCTGGCTTCTACGGCCAAGGCTGCAGGAGACGGTGAGTGACTGCACCCCACTGAGCCTCATCTGGCAGCGTGGGCTTGGTGGGAGGTGGCAGCAGGAGGTTTTGGGGATGCTGCACCCGGTGATGGGCTCCTCGTTGGCCGTTGCAGGTGTGGGCAGTGTAAGAGCCTGCAGCCATGCACTGTGGCAGACGGGCGCTGCCTGACCTGCGAGGCCGGCTGGAATGGCACAAAGTGTGACCAACCCTGCTCGCCTGGCTTCTACGGAGAGGGCTGTGAGAAGTTCTGTCCCCCCTGCAAGGATGGTCACACCTGCAACCACATCAATGGCAAGTGCTCCCATTGCAACCCGGGCTGGATCGGAGACCGGTGAGTGTGGCTGGGTGCAGAGTTGGGTCCCACCGGAGCTATTCCCACCCTCCCTACTGCTCTGCCTGGGGACCAGGGTTGGCTGTGGGACCAGGGGGAGCCTGAGAGACCCCTGCCCTGTGACCTCAAGTAACGTTGGGTGCTCATGGTGGGGCTCAACTCTGAAGCTGGGTTGCTTTCCCATAGGCTCTTGCACCCAGGATCAGGTCCAGGACTTAGCAGCACCCAAAAAGGGCTGACAAGGCACAGGAGGGCTGGGGGGGCGGATGCTGGAGGTCTCCAGGAGGTGTGGGTTCTCCAACCACCTGCCCTCATCCCTCTCCAGGTGTGAAACCAAATGCCGGAACGGGACATACGGGGAGAACTGCGCCTTCGTCTGCAGTGACTGCGTCAATGGCCAGTGCCACTTCGAGACCGGCCGGTGCCTCTGCCACCCTGGCTCCCATGGCACCTAGTAAGTGAGGCATGGTGGGCACACCTCGGGGTGCACCCCAGGGCACGGGTGGTGCTTGGGCACCTCCTACCCCCTTGAGTCCTACGTGGTTCCATCTGAGAAGTTTCCTGTGGTGGAAGCACTCACAGGCACTAATTCAGATGCTTTTGGAGCGGAGAGGAAAGGACGCGCT